GATACTGAATAAAATACTCTAAACTATTTATGAATACATTTTAAATACGAAAATAAATCGTAAATAAAATAAAATTGTCTTTGCTTTTGACAAATTATACGGCTTTGATAGGCCGTTATTATTATATAGGCAATATCTGTGATTTTCCCAATATTCGGCATAAACAAATTTTATTAGTTTATTTATTGTTTATTAGAGTCGCACATGTGTAGATTCTAGTACATCTCAATCGTCGTAAGAATATTGTTATACGGTGCTAGTTTCCTATTTTGATATAATATATGCTTTATTTTTATTTAAAAATTTTGTATTATTTATTATTTTGGTAATTTTAGCGCACTCTTCACTTCGAATCTGGATAAGTAATGTTGCATTAAAATTTTTAGTATCTTATAGTCATACACTTTATTTAAATAATTCTTCAAATAACAATTGAATATATCTACAAATATGATTGAAAATAGTAAATTTATATATGCTTCGGTTCTGGTAATTATATATTATTCTATACAATACTAATTGTTAGTAAATTAGCTTGAGTCGAACTTAGTAAACTTTCATATTATGAAATTGTAACGAGTATGAACCATAGTTCATAATTTTTTTTTAAATAATAGTTTAATGAATAATTTAAAGGGGTATAATAAATATTGTCTATAATGGTCTAAAATTAACATACTATTATTTAGTTCAACTACTCGAGAAAATCCATTCCTTTGTAAAACAATTTATCTTTTATTTATTTATAGGTGAAATTTCTCTCACTTTTTAGCACATCCAATAATTTGTCATCTATATCCAAAAATGTATACATTTCTTCTAAAGGAAAATTTTGTTTGGCAAAGTTTTTTTTACATAATAAATATAATATTAAATTGAATGGAAACCAGTTTTTTGTTCGATATGTTAGAGCAGCCGCAGACTTACTGTATATAATTTATGTTAATTTGATTGTTTTTGCACTGTGATGATTCAGAATATAAAATTGGCATAATAATTTCTAATGGCATTGACATGAATTTACTTTCTTCAGATTAGAAATTGGTCATTTTTTGCCATTATTAAAAATTTGTAGTATATTTTCCATTCAAATAAAAAATCTTTCACGGGATGCAATCAGTTAAATTTACTTGGACTGATTGTTTGATAAATATATGGATGATGATGAAGATGTTTGATTAGGGATATTCGAAATATTTTGTCTGTAGTATACAATTGCATTTGTAAATATAATATGATAATATTTTAGGATGGAGTATCATGATGATATGCTAAAACTAAAACTATAACTGATTGATTTTAGACTAAGATGGGATTATATATTAATATTTCTTGCATTTCTAATTGAATTATTTTTGCTATTTCAAATATTTAAGAAACCTGATCACTTTGATAAATTGAAAAAGATTATATAAAATTAAATATTATGTGCAAATCCATACTTGTTAACGATTTTAAAGTTCAAGATGCTTTTTATATTTTTCATTAACAGATTTAATGGATTGTTAAAATAGTTTCAAATAAATAAATAAATAAATAAATATATATATATATATATACGAGGTCTGTTCAAAAAGTACCCGGAATTACTAATAATTAAATTTTGCGGGTCTGGAGTGTCTGATTGTCAAAATTTTTTTTTATTGTGTTGGTATACATGCCCCTAAAGTTTGATGAAATTTTCAGCTATATTCACTGTTTACTTTGTTTGTGGTAGTCGCTAAGGTTCGACGTGTTTTTCTGAGCTCGGCGATTTTTACAATGGAAGAATTGAAAAGTCAAAGAATTTGTATTAAATTTTGCGTAAAAAATGAAATAAAGTGTTGCAAAGTGCAAAAATTCACCAGATATGGCTCCGTGTGACTTTTTCCTATTCCCAAAGTTGAAGAGACCCATGAAAGGACGGCGGTTTTCCTCGATTGAAGAAAATCGCTGAGAGTGCTCAAGGACATATCAAAAAGTGAATATCAAGGGTGCTTCGAAAATTGGAAAAAACGCTGGCATAAGTGTATTATATCTGGGGGGGACTACTTTGAAGGGGACCACATTAATGTAGACGAATAAATAAATATTTTTTTGAAAAAACGAAAATTCCGGGTACTTTTTGTATATATGTATATATATATATATATATATATATATATATATATATATATATGTGTGTGTGTGTGTGTGTGTAATATATATTAAAAACGTATATAATTGCCATAATTATGAATATATATATATATATATATATATATAAATTAAAAGCAGAAATTATGTGATAGTTCAGTAAAATATTAGCACCTTCATATATTTGTTAAATCAATATTTTATTCAAATTAAATTATTTTTATAATGTATAATACATAAATGTATATAGATATTGTAATGCCCTTATGATTTGTTTCATGAAACATTTTAATGCCAATATTTATTTTGTAAAATCATATTGTATCATCATAAATATTTTTTTAATGAATTGTAAGGTGTGCAGACCATTAAATCGTATGTAAACTTTTCATTTTAAAAAAACTGATTTGATCAAAATATTAACAATATAAGTAAGAGAGTTTTTTTATATAATTTGCATCCTGAAACTATAATTAACAGTTTGTCATTATATTTGAATTAAAACGTAATAATTTATTTCCAGCTTGCTCAATAGACCATTATTTTCTGTTTTCGATTTTGCTAAATTATAAAGAATGTTTTCAACAAATTATAAATACATCTTTTTCATTTTATATTCAAATGCATATTATGTAGACAATAACAAACACCTGATAAAGTGTAGAAAAAAAAATCTTGCGCAGACACAAACCTTAATATCAATTAAGTTTTATTGTAGATACTTCAGAATTTTGATTGTTTTTATACAACTTTTAATGGTTTGGTTAAATAATTGGAAAAATTTGATAAAACAAAAGTTTTATTTGTTTATTATTATTGTACCTATTTTTAATGAACATCCAAATAACAAGGTTGCAATAGAAACATTAAGACATACGACTTTATATGGATCTCTAAAAACTCATTTTAGAGCATATAAACAAAAATATCAAATTTAAATTAACATCATTTGGGCTCAATCGTTTTATTCTTTATATTTAAAAACACAAGACATTACCAATAAAATCAAATTACTATAAGTTTTCTTCATAATTAAAAGAATAATTGCATTGTACGAGATTGGTGTTTTTTTTCTCTTTGACTCACTTGTTTATGAAATTTTTATGTTTTAAAGATATTAAAATAACGCTAAAAGTTATTCATTAATTTATACTAAATATTCAATATATCGCTCAGAAACTGTTAATTTATTATGTTATTATATATTAATTGTTAATAGTTAATTGTTATGCAAGTCAATACGAAGATTCTTTGCAAAGATTTGCATTTTATACACGATTAGACTACATTATTCATTAGCAGTTGAATAAATTTTATATTTGCGGAAATAAATTGCAATTATATTTATAGATTATAATTAAATTTTTATTGCGTTTAAATTATTTCATGTCACTAAAAGTAAAAGTGCATAAGGTGAAATCTCTTGGTTAAGTACTTAATAAATTTTTATATAATTTATCAACACGTTCTGGATTCTTGATTAAAAAATTTCTTATACAATTTTTAGAAGTCTTACTTAAATAATAGAAAACATTATTTTTTTTACTGTAATAGGCATTCATATATGCCTACTACAGTATTTTAATATTTAAGTATACAAAATAATGGTGGAATGGTACATAAGTCTATCCTTGGGTGTTATACTTCATCAATACATATTTTAGATCAGTACATTTATATGTGAAAAAAATATAAAATGGTGTCTTGTTTTTACGCGATATAAAAAGAATAGTAACATTCTTCTTTCTCATAATGTCTATACAAAAAAAAACTTAATCGGTTAGTACTATGCATTTGTAATTTAATAAAATACAGTATAAACTCGCTTTACAATCATTTTTATACGGAATAATTTCGCAAGTGGCATTTTGCCTCAAGACAAGTTGAATGAACGTCAAAGAATTGAGATTTAGCAAAAAATTTCAAGTTGTGATGATAAGATAAATCGAGTGTAATTCCTTAGCTTTTAGATTTTTTTAATTATATTAGTTTTCATAGGCCTATAATATTTTATACTGTTCTTTCAGACCGCATCACTTCTGTTTTATTAATTGATTACGAAAAAACGGCCAGGTCGACCTTTACCAGAAAACTATTAACACGTTTTCCACTAGATATATCTCGAACAGGTTTCGATTTTTTAAAATAGGATTAGGATTTTTGACAAAAATATTGTTAATTATGTAAAAATGGTTCAACCGCCGGTTTTTGCTACCGTTTTTGAGAAATCATCGACGTCAAATTTTGGTATACATACACACATTATTTCTCTAATTTTGCATTTAAAGGATTTATAATGACTTGAAACCTTAAAATTCGCATTTTGGAATCTTTGGAGAAAATATCAATTTTTTCTTCGGGAAGATATAAAACGCCTGTATTTGCGAGCGAAATACAAGCATTTTTAGAAAGTAATTTATAATAAATAAAAGTTAAATTGGTGTTCCATGGCGTAACTGTTTGACGCGCTGCCCGGTGTGGACAGGGTCGGCAGGTCGAGTACTCGCTTTGGACAACTTGTTAGCAGGCAGTCCATTTTTACTTAAAAATATAGATGAAAAATATGTTTGCTTTTGAAAATGGAAGAGTTGGTTGCCCCTTCACACTGCAGTGCCCTTTTTGGACACTGCGGTGTGAGAGGGCAGTGGAAAATGGAAAATCTCTCAAAATATTTTTTAGAGAATCGAAATCGTTTGTGTTTAACTTAGCTCACAGACCTGTTCTAGGGTAGTACTACCCAATAACAGTTAAATTAATTTAAATAGAATTAAATGACAAAGCACCAAAGCAGACACAAATTGTGCGAAAGTTTGTAATTTTACAACGAGTATTTTGTTCTTAAGCTAGGTTTATGGTAAATTTTAATAAATGTTTTTTGAAGTTACCTGTTAATTTCTCTTTCTTTACACTCGCAGTTCCATTATTCTCAATTTTTCTACTGTGTTGGTTTTATCAATTTCATCCTTAATGACTTGTTTTGTTAGCATTTCATCAGACAAATAATCTAGACAAGGCAAAGTAAGCACCGTCACATTAACGTGGGATGTCCCATTTATTTGGGAAATTTCACCTGTCGCATTTGTATTTTCGTTGAGCGCCTGCAGCAATAATCGCGAACAAGAATTTTCTTCTGCTCGGGAAATGCATAAAATCACAGAAAAAATCGTGAAGAAATTCACAAGCATTTTGCTATTCGGTTTATTCATGTTTTATTTAATTTGTTTTGGTTTTGGCAAATTAACACGAGCAGAGCAGTGTAGATTGTTTACTATTTATGATTTCGGATACGTTTGTATTTGCCATGCGTATTTTTTGTTAATCATATAGTTTTGTGTGGAAGTTTACCGATTTATTTTCAGTTATCACCTTTTTATTAGTTTATCTTTGTTTATGGCTATCACGATGGATCATAATGAGTCATTAATTTAATAGACATAATTTTTATTTTTATTATTGCTATTTGAAATGAATTTAACACTAATTAATGATGTTTGTTTTTTTTTTAGCCACTATATGATTTTATTATATGTTTTGAATATTTATAAAAAATGTGAATTATGTAGAAAAATTATAAAAAAATTCGCTATTAAATTTACCGTTATTATAAATATAGCTATGAACATGGAATCTTTATATATTTTTACCTTTTAAAAACGATATCAGCTATTTAGAGTTATTCTTGTTTAAATTTGCACAGTTATGATAATCACTATAATATATCACACAATATAGTTAGTTAATTTACTTTGTTATTACACTATTTTTATACACTTTTTATTTATTTAATAACATTTTTATTTCAATTACATACTATGTATTTATATAGTAAATAATTTACAAAATTATTATTAATTAAATTATCGTTATTATTCTGATTAAATTTTGTTTAATTTTTGAATGTTAAAAAAATTTCAGTATAATTTCAAGTATTTTTAAATCTTAAAAATAAACTGCAATTTTTTAAATATTTTTTTAATAATAATTTTAGTTGATTTTTATTTAATTTACCTGGTAACACTATTTTTATACACTTTTCATTTACTTTAAAACATTTTTATTTTATTTGCACAAATCAACAAATATTTATATAGAGATCAAAGTAAATTGAATTAAAATCAATTTTTGTAGTTTTTTGGGTATTTAAAAAAAAGTAGAATAAGAAGAATTGTTAGTTTTTTAAAATAAACTGCAATTTCTTAAATCAATAATTAAAATGAGCCTTTCCTTTCAAATACTCGAGTTTATGAACTTTTCTCTTCGGCACAAATCGATGTTCGTTTGCATTTCGCACTGATCCCAATGTTAAGTATGGTTTGAATGCTTAAAGACTCTTCAATACATGCGTAGAAATAAGTCCCCACCAGTATATGTAACAAATAAGTATCCGGAGGCCGGATAGTCCAATTTTCACTCTAAACATTGTGTTACAACAAATTCAAATTATGTACTTATTGATAATTAACTAGTATGTATGACTCTATTGTTATTTATTATTTTCTGGGAATTTTATTACACGTGACTTTATTTTTGTGAATGGGCAAGAAATTTTGATATGTATTAATTTTTGAGATAAGGAGTAACATGGAAATTTTACTTTGAAGATGTCGTAACAGGTATTTTTTAAATTAATATATTTTGAGGCTCACTGATTATATTTCTACGAAATAAAGCTAGATGGAAGCTTTAACTATTCTCTGACAATCAATAATTTCATAACTATTGTTCATTATCTTATAATTCATAATTTTTTTAAAAAAGTGCATCTTTTGGGCAAGTAGTTACAACAATAATATATCTGATAAATTATTCTTTACTTACTTTTAAGAAAATTGACTTGTTTCTAATCAATGAATACTTTAATTAATACATTAAAATATATAATGTCTTTTTTAATATAAAGTTTTATCATGAAAAAGCGTAAATTACAATTATTATCACAATATAAAAATAGATGGAATGTCAGCTGTAATACAATTTAGATGTGTCCATATCTTGCAACGTATACATTCCACCCAATCTTTTCACTTGAATCTATATACGAGGTCTGTTCAAAAAGTACCCGGAATTACTAATAATTAAATTTCGCGGGTCTGGAGTGTCTGATTGTCAAAATTTTTTTTTTATTGTGTTGGTATACATGCCCCTAAAGTATGATGAAATTTTCAGCTATATTCACTGTTTACTTTGTCTGTGGCAGTCGCTAAGGTTCGACGTGTTTTTCTGAGCTCGGCGATTTTTACAATGGAAGAATTGAAAAGTCAAAGAATTTGTATTAAATTTTGCGTAAAAAATGAAATAAAGTGTTGCAAAGTGCAAAAATTCACCAGATATGGCTCCGTGTGACTTTTTCCTATTCCCAAAGTTGAAGAGACCCATGAAAGGACGGCGGTTTTCCTCGATTGAAGAAAATCGCTGAGAGTGCTCAAGGACATATCAAAAAGTGAATATCAAGGGTGCTTCGAAAATTGGAAAAACGCTGGCATAAGTGTATTATATCTGGGGGGGACTACTTTGAAGGGGACCACATTAATGTAGACGAATAAATAAATATTTTTTTGAAAAAACGAAAATTCCGGGTACTTTTTGAACAGACCTCGTATTATTCTTGTATGTTACAACTAGCCCCTAGGTTTTGTTTTCACTAACCACAGGTATGATTTTTTTAAATTCGTGCAGTACGAAAAAAAAAATCATTCAAGAAATTGCGGCAAATCCCTGGGCCATTTTCTTTCCTTATTTTTTTTCCTGCGTGAACTGGTAGAACTAATTTCATATCAAAAATTATATGGGCATTTCATTTACTTCGAAAAGTTGAGCTAGCAGACTAAATAAAAATAATGTCATTTTAATGACTATCTTAATTTTACGAATTCTGTTACATAACGTGTAATAGTTATTCCCCAAATATCTATATAATACTCGATTGTGATGATATTTATATTGGGAATTTGTGATTATTCTAAACTAAACAATACTGTTTTTTGTATTCCCATTCGCTTATTCTTTCGATCTGCCAAAGCTGCAATTTAAATATTTTTACATGAGAAATTTAAGTCTTACAATATTTACGATAATAATAACAACAATAATACTTATAATATATAAGTATTTACAATTTAATTTATAGTGTACTATATAATTTATTTTAAAGCAATTTTATATGAAGTAAAGCGTAAGTTAATAAATATATATTTTTCAAAATTACAAAAAATTCAGCAATTATATGACCAAAGATATAAACACTAAAACAGCAATTTCGTCAATGTATTAATTTTGCATTAAGTGTGTATAAAGTTTAACTTCATTCAGAGATATAGCTGTTTGACCATGATATTCCCTCTAATTCCTTTCTCTGCAAAACTTCCAGTATGAACTAACTTTATTCCCAAATTCGGATATTCACTATTTTTAAAAAAATCGAAAAAACAAAAAAAATGTTAAAAAAAATTTCGACAGTAGCTCTCTTGCAGAAAGATATAGCACATTTGCTCTTTTATGACCTTTCAAAAAACGCAAAAATTTAATTTATAATTGTAGTAATTGATTCGTAGGAGCATTTAAAATTATATTAAAATTTATATTTTTAAGTGAAAACGGATTCGAACTTGCAACGTTGTGTTTGCAAGACCGAAGTTCTTAATGCAGAGATATATAATAATTTATATAATTCTTTGAGATATAAAATAATTGGTAGTATCTGACATAAATAATGATTACTATATCTGTATGCACCTACGAATAGGTCATTGCAAGAAAATTGTAATATGTTTAATATTACTATAATTATAATATTACGATCATTAGATATCAATCATCTTTTGATCATATTTTAAACACATTATTCCTAGAATTTTAGATGTAATTCGAAATATTATAAATTTTTACCCAAGCCATAGATACTTATTAAAAGTATAAAAGTTCTATAATAAATATAAAATACTATTTATGAGGGTATTTACAATTATGGGTTTTGCCCCATTATACTCGTAATTTTTATATTACGCATTGGTAATTTACAATAATCGTATTACCTATATCTGGATTGATATTGACATTAGTTATTGACTCAAATGACAAAATAAATTTTAATTTACTATCATGTGCTTTTAAACAAATAAATATGACTTATTAGAAATACCAAACGTTCTTTCACAAAGTTATTTGAACTTTTGAAGACGTAAACACTTAAAATTTATATGTAAATATCGAAGTCCAAATTTTTCTGAAATAAAACTAATATAATTTTCAGATTGACTGATAGGTTCTTTACATTTTAGGAGATGACAAATGTGTTTATGTTTCAGTTTGTAAATATCGAAGTCCAAATTTTTCTGAAATAAAC